TCTTCCGCGCATAATATTCATTTAACCTTTCCGCGCACTTGTTTCATCATCCATCTGCAGATACGTCTCCGCAAATGTAGACAAAATGATGGTTTCCGCGCATGAAAAATGTAATATTCCCCGCGCAAGAAAAATACTCTACAGTCTGTTATGAAAACCGAGGTGATAAAACATCTGAACTTGATACCAAGTTCTGAAAAGAGAAGTCGTTTAGGTACACGTGTAGCTTTTTATAAAGATAATGATTATTCTAATTATTAATAATGTACTAAAGAGCTCCACTCATGGACGGGGAACTGTTGTAGTGCTATACATATATTACTTTTCTAGTATAGTTTAGTTAGTCTGTTGTGATCTCCCATTTTCTTTGATGGACTGCAACCCCTAAATTAGATGTGTTATTAACTGATCGCCTTATGAGGGTTACTTGCAGTACAATGTGGTAGTGAGACCTCATAAGTTTTTATTTCATATATAAGCATACTAATGACTAGGAAATTATTGAACACTTGGTAATATGAACATCATAACTGTATTATTTTTTAGAATAGTATACATATACGCCCATTCGCCCACAAATCTCATATTCAGGGAACGTAAAATAGGAATTGTATACAGTGTTTTGTCTAATCAGTTATGAAAGTTACATTCAATATTAAATCTCCATAACTTAGTAAACATTACATTGTATAAAATGTGTTTATTATTCTGGTTTCTACTTTAATGTACACTATTTAACTATTCGTATTGTCAGTGATATTATTTTATAGAAGGTAAGTATAGAAAATATGTATATTTCTGCTCATAACTCTTTAGGTACTGAATGACATTTTAAGACTGAAAGAGTAACTACTCAAAAAAATGTAATCATAATTTTTTCGACCTTTGATGTTATAATATATGCGTACATCAATAATTAACTGTATAATGGTTAAAGGTAGAAGTCAGAGTATGAAAGTAATAAGAGAATAGAAGTCAGAGGATATAATTCAGATCTAAATCAAGATTAGATTTAACAAGTAAAGATGTGTTTCAGTCAAAACCCAGCCAAGCAATAGGAAATATGTATATTTCTATTAATACCATTTTCTGAGCTGAATGATAATTTTAGCAAGAAAACAATAACTATTCGATAAAATGTTCTGATAAACTTTAAATCTATTCAAAATTACATATGCGTCAAATATTCCAAGAAATCGTTTTGTCTTTGATTATATACATGTGTATATATATATATATATATATATATATATATATATATATATATATAATATATATATTATATATATATATATATATATAAAGAAAGAAAAATCAAGAAAAATGAATTTAACAAAAAGGAGGTGCATCAACAAAGTCCAACCCATCAATTGGCAGAAATTGCTGATAATAATAATGTTATATGAGCACCTGTAAAAACTTGTCTATTGATTTGCAAGCATAGGAATATTTTAATTAAAACCTCGATCCTCTCTTTTGAAATAATCACTGAAAATACTTCATCTTGGCTAAGAAGATAAAAAAATTGTAAGACCATCCATTTCTGCATTTTTATTTTTTATTCCTATTTAGAGACAGAGAGAAAAATTACATTTTGCTCATTTATATTAATAATTCATCTATATTTTTATTTCCTGTTAGAAAACTGCCAAATACCTTTAGTAATTATGTTAAGACGTTTTATCTGAATACTGTTTTTTATTTATGGTATTAATCAAGGTACGAAATCTGTTTTCAATCCATTTCATTATTTTTTCTTTATTTTTCTTCTTCTTAACTTCTCCCAAACACAGACTCCGGTTATATGAATATTTTTTTTTTTTTTTGGAAAAACAAAATTAAGCATTTAGAAAATATATATTTCTTTCACAGAATACAGGATACAAGCCCAGCTAATACTTTGCATATATACAGGCAATAAAATGAAATTACCATAAATAATATCTTTATATGTGTATATATATATGTATATGTGCGTATATATATATTTATTATATATATACATATATATATATATATATATATATATATATATATATTATATATATATATATATATATATTATATATATATATATATATATATATATAAAGCAGGCACGCACCACACCGCACCACACAAAACACAAGCACACATATATATACATGTATATATATGTATACATACACTTTCCATAACACGTACACAAACACACACACACACATATATATAATCACAACTGTAACGCTTTACCAATAAGGAAAAGCAAACATTATATGACGAATATATGATAATTTAAATACAATATGTGAAGCAAGAAAATTATTTACATGACTAACAAATACGTTAATTATATATTGCTTATTGACAATCACGGCATCACATGCCTTGTTTCTCTTTTTTAATGGTTATGAAGCAAGCATTGACAAATATGTTTCACCTTAGCAAATAGCTTTGTTTTGCATATGTAACATAAGACAAATCTTATGTTATTTGGCACACGCCCTAGTCTTCTAAAAAAATGTGTATCATATATATATATATATATATATATATATATATATATATATATATATATATATAATATATATATATATATATATATATACATATATATATATATATATATATATATATATATATATATATATATATATATGTATATGTATACATATATATGCATACATACATACATACATATACATATAATGCTTATATATTTCTGCGTTACTTATAGTTGATAAAAATATAAATAAAATCTAATTCACTGGCTTCTTATTTCACGTAAAGAAACGTATAAAAATATCAAAATTTATACATACATGCATCTTAATATTCTGCTTATGTTAATTTCCTTATCATACTAAAACTACACTTTTGAAAGACAGATACTCATAATTATTCTACGTAATATCACTTAATTAGAATAAAATGTATATTCAAGATCATTACAATAGTGTTTCACACTGCAGATATTTATAAACATGAAAATATATTTACACCGGAATATTCTTCATTAAGCACACAAAACATCGTGGGCTCATTTTGCATATGAGCGGATAATATGATTTTTATAAAATCGGTTCCTTAATCATAAATACAAATATAATAAGAAAGTAAAAGATCTTCAGGTAAGCACAGAGCAAGATCGAAAAACTGATACCTCAAAAAAGATGTTGTTAGTACTTTTTCGGCCAGTTGTTGGTCAATTCTAGTTTAAAAAAGAGCTCCCACATAGAATTTATAAAAAAATAATTGTCAAAAACACAGGCTTATGAAAACACACACACACACAAACTAGTACACTTAAAAAACTCTTGTCTACACAGGAGCCACCATAGGGACTTGTTCGATAATATAAATTTGCAAAGAATTTGAAATTAATGTGTCGAGGAACTATCTGGCTAGATATGAATGAAATCAAAGAATGAAATCAAAGTGTCATCAAAACTACAATATTAAGTAATCACAGTCAAGCAAAGACACAGTGGAAAAGACTTATATATATAGAATGTACGATGTGAGAATGAACTCGAGTATATATCCCACAAGATCCGGTTCTGTCAAAAACGAAGCATTGCACTACGTTTTATGTAAATATATATTACAACGCAGAACAAAAACACAAAAAACGTGGGAAATCATTCTACAATAGGAAGGTCACAGGTAGTCAAATAGATCAAGAAATGAGATATTCATAAAACTGACATTAAATGCAAATGAAGCGGACAAACAAACAAACAAAATATACACATAACAGATCCTGAACAAGATAATTTGTCCTAATACATTTTCAACACTTTTATCAAAATCGAAAATAAATCCTAAATGATATATTGAAGTTACAGTTTGCTGTGTATTTGTGATATCATGTTACTATCAAGTATTGGCAGGGGGAAAAAATGAATATTTACATACTACTCTTCCCAGATACGTTGCAAAGAAACTTGTTACTACAGTATGAAACATAAATACAAAAAAAAAAAAAAAAATCAAAATTGTAAAAAAAACGTCGAGAAAAAATCTGCAGATCTTCAACTGTTCGCTTTTGTAGATCAATATCTGGACCACATTTTCTATGATGAACTATTTTTTTTCAGATCTCTTCGGAGAAATCCTCATTAATGCTTTTGCAGGTAGCTTGCATAGATCTTTTCCTTTTCTGTCAAGTGATTTTATATTTTCTTAGATCCTTTTGTGGGTATATTTCCTTAGATCCTTTTGTGGGTATATTTCCTTAGATCCTTTTGTGGATATGTATATTTTCACAGAAAATCCTCTTTGCGAGTACGGTTTCTTAGAAGATCTCCTTGCGGAAATCAAATCCATATTCATCACACTTGTAGCGCAGAGTTCGGGCGAGAGCAGGTGGACCGCAGTAAAACACGGTGATTTTTCCCTTCTGTTGGTTTTGCAGCTGTTTGAACACCTGTTAATGCAAAAAAAGAAAAGGTGTGAGTTTTTTCCCTAGTTAATTGATTCAATGTTTTGTTTAACCACGAAAAGAAAATGGAAAAAATCCGTTTTTTGAGTTTCCGATTTGTAGTTAAATACGCGTTGACTAATTGGTAATCATTATCATTATTATTATTATATTATTTTAAAGAAATTACAAAGAGAGACATAAACATGAATCTAACTCACATATGAGATATGAGCGCCCTATATCTCCCACGCGCATTATCAAATTAAATCAACACTATACTTACTTTATCCCAGTTTGGTCTTCCAGCATTTGTGCGTGTTTTCAAGCCCGTTATGAGATCTCGCTTTTCCTGGAAACAGAAAAAAAGGTTAGTGACGGCCCACCTTTCAGCACAAAAAGGGATTCATTTCTGTTCTCATAATATATCAAATGATGATAATATCGAATGAACCATGAATTAGTTTTGTATGAAAGTAAATATGAGTAAACAAAGTGAATGGAATATGGGCAGAAATAAATCAAAGTATACTATCTTTCTAATCCTACCAATAAAAATCAATCGAATTTCTTGAAGCAGGTTTCTTTAACCAATTTCTCAGACACAAACACACACACACACACACACAACACACACACACACACAACTCAACACACACACAGCACACGCCACACACACACACACACACCAATTCCTGTCCTTCCTTACCTTCTCGTGCAGTAAATCCAGCGCCAACTGAAGTCCCACGGCCTTCATGTCGGTCTTCTGAAGGGCTGAAGTGATGTACATGTGCATGTCCAAGAACCTCTCCATCACTCCACCGTGTTCTGCCTGTTCTATCTCCAACTGGGACAGCAAGTTCACGAACCACTCGAAAGAACGCTGGTCTCGGTTGATCCAGAAGAAGTCCACCTGAAGAGGAGGGGAGAAAGCGTTCGATGAGTGGTGTGTGAAGGAGGGATAGATTGATGGGTCGCGGGATGGTGACGAATGCATGGAGGGAAGGAGGGAGGGAAGGAGGGAGAGAGAGGCAGAGAGAGACAGAGAGAGAGAGGGAGGGAGGAGGGAGGGAGGGAGGGAGGGAGGGAGGGGGAGAAGGAGAGAGGAGGAGAGAGAAGGAGGGAGAGGGAGAGGGAGAGGGAGAGGGAGGGAGGGAGAGGGAGAGGGAGAGGAGAGAGGAGAGAGAGAGAGAGAGAGAGAGAGAGAGAGAGGAGAGAGAGAGAGAGAGAGAGAGAGAGAGAGAGAGAGAGAGAGAGAGAGAGAGAGAGAGAGAAGATGCTATAATATTAAACGTAATATGAAACGGTTTCACAGCATCACAGCAATTGAAAAAAGAGTTTCTATAGGTGCTTCAGGAACGAAATCGTATAATACGTTATTGCAGTCACTATCAAACAAAACAGCCACTTAAGAACAAAACAAGCAACAAACAATAAGACAACAAAAAAGAAAAAAACAAAAACAAAACAAAAAACAAGAGAAAACACATATATACCTTTCGAAGATTCATAACACTATCAGGCACATCGTTGGTCCACGAATAACTGCAATTGGGGCACACGTGACGGGCCTTCCAGTACTTGTGCATGATGGACTGCAGGATAGAGGCGAAGGGCGTGACACCGATGCCTGTACCAATCAGCACTGCATGTTGAGCTCGGAAGATGTGGCTGGAAGGGGCGCCGAAGGGGCCATCAACGTAAATCTGAGAGGAAGGAAAAAAGGGGAAACTGATATATTTTTTTTCTTTGAGACAGTTGTAGAATTCTGAAAGGACTGTCAGCGTGAATCTGAATCCCAAAACCTACCAAATAGAATACCAAAATTGTCGTGAAACACCAAAAACTCACCATAAAATACCAAAACCCCACCATAAAATACCCAAAACACCCAAAAAACACCAAAACACAAAAAAAACCAAAAACGCACTAAAAAACTAAAAAAAACACATAAAACACCAAAAACGCACCACAAACTTCAAAACACCGCAAAAGCCCCTAAAACTACCTCACAACTCCCCCCCTCCCAAAGACCCAACACCACTTACCACAGAGGCTTCCGACGGCGCATCCTCCCTCGGCGATCACCTCCTCCATCCTACTCTTCTTCCTCACTCGCCTCTCCTCTTGTCTCGACTTCCTCCTCTGGCGCTGCTCCTCTTGGCTCACGGCGTAGCTCTTCCTGCCTTCCTCGAGGGCAAGGACGGTCTCTGCAATGGGAGCTTTACTCTTAGTTTTTTTATTCTTTAGAATATAGTTGAATATAATAATATATATAATATAAGTGAATATAATATAATAATATATAAAATGAATATATATAATAATATATATATAAGTGAATATTAAATAATTATATTGAAGTGAATAATAATATAATAATATAATATAATATTATAATAATATATATATGTGAATATAATATGTGTATAATAATAATATAATAAAAATGCATTATAATATATTTTATATAATATAATATAATTTAATATAATATAAATAAAGTACATTCCGGCGTGTTGCACAAGACAGAAAGGAATAAGAAGAAACTGAAAGAAGAAGAAAAAGACGAAGAAGAAGAGAAAAAGAAAAGAAGACGAAACGAAGAAGAAATAGAAAAGAAAGAGAAAAAAGTAAAAAAAAAAAAAGAAAAAAAGTTAAAAAAAAGAAAAGAAAAGAAGAAATGAAAAAGAAAGAAAAAAGAATAAAAAAAGTAAAAAGAAAAGAAAAGAAACCCATCATCTCTTCAAGCAAGCTTCCCATCCAAAGAAGACAATGCCACCCACCCTTTCCTGCTGTGTCTGCCATCTCCTCTTCTTCCTCTTCTGCCTCCGATTCCGATGGCAAGTCTAGCGTGATAATCTTCGGTTTGCGGCGCATGTACCTTTTAGGAAGAGAGGGCAAAGGGGATGATTGGAAGAAGGAGATAAAGAAAAGGGTAGAGGATGTGAAGGAGATGAAGATGAATTGATTTTGGAGGAGATGTATTTCACTAAGTACAATAAGAGATATATATTTCACTAAGTATAATAAAGGATATATTTCACAGTATAATAAACACTTGCTTACATTTAATTCTATATGTACACGCAAGTAACAAACACACATACAAACGGTCACACACGCACACATGCACCAACGAGCGTAATACATACATATACACCGAAACACACAGCCACTACACACACATGCACACACACACACACACACACAGTACCATTGCAAATACACACGACCCCCCCCCACACACACACACAACACAACCTTCCACCCACCACCTCCACCCCACTCACCTAAAGCTCTTTGCAAGCTCTCTCCTCGACGGCATCTGGACCTCCCCGTCCAGAGTCGCCTGAAGAGCCTTACTCAAGGTGCTCTGGTTGAACTTCTGGTCAGACTTCGGGCGGAAGTTGTTCAGCAATCTGAGAACATTGAAGTGTCGTGAGTGTTTCCGGTGTTCTTGCGTGTGGATCTTTGGCGAGTGAGGTTAATGGAAATATTGGGGTATACAACATTTTTTTTTTTAATTCTTTACGATATGTACGATTTTTTTTATCCTTTCAATTGACTATTTCTTAACGAACGCACAAGTAATTACCAAAGAAAGAAAGAAGAAAGAGAAAAAGAAAAAGGAAAAGAAAAAAAGAAAGAAAGAAAGAAAAAAGAAAAAAAATAAAAGAATAGAAAAAAAAAAGAAAAAAAGAAAAAAAAAAGAAAAAGAAAAAAAGAAAAGAAAAAGAAAAACAGATGACGCTCCGCAAAAAAAACAGCAACAAAAGACCCTTACATGTGATTCTTCTAAGAAAGAAAGAAAAAAGAAAGAAAAAAAGAAAGAAAGAAAAATGAAAGAGAAAAGAAACATGGCGCTCCAACAACAAAACAAAACAAAACAACAAAAAAAGAATAAAAGAAAAAAAAGACCCTTACATATGATTCTTCTTCCTCCTCTCCACCTTCCTGTCGAAATCAGGGACCGAGCGAGACTTCATGAGCACCTTCTTCCCGTTGACGCTGTTGTGGACCAGGCTGGGCGCCGACTGGTTCTTGTGGTTCGCCAGGAGCTTGTAGTTCTTCGGGAGGGCCGCCGCTGCCGCCTCCTGGTCCACCGCGTTGCCGTTCGTGTCGTGTTCGAAGCCTTCGTTCGTGTAGCCGTTCTCGACCGTCTTGTCCGTGCTGCAGGACGCGCCTTCTGCAAAAAAAAATTTCGTTTTTTTATTTTATCTATTTTTTTATTCATGTTTTTGTGTCTTGGTGTTATGTTGTATTGTGAGTTTTTTATGCTTTGATTTAACTATTATTTTCATTTTTTATTCATATTTCCCGTGTTTCGGTATTACTATGTTGTATTGTGATTTTTTATGCATTCATTTAACCATTATCTTAATTTTTATTCATACTTCCTTTATGCATTCATTTACTGACATTCCAATAATGATCTGGATATCAGTGACCGGCAAAATGAGACTAATTTCGGTTAGATTATTCAAATGTTTATAGTAAAATGAGACTAATTTCGGTTAGATTATTCAGATGTTTACGGCAAAATGAGACTAATTTCCTGAAAGTTTCTCTTACCTGTAGGAGCAGCTTCGTTCATAATGGCAAGTTGACTGGTCTTGTCGTGCGAATGCAAATCACTACTCGGATGCATCCTCCTGTATAAACAATAAAAAAATTAAATTATCTGATGTGTTTCAGAAATGTAGATATATCAATAAATATGCAATGACATAAAAGAATCGAATCACCGACCTTTACATCCTAAAACCTTAAACCTTACACCCTAAACTCCGGCGCAACGAACGACCAAACAACAAACGAAACAAAATGAAAAAAACAATAAAAACAAAACCAAAAATACTGAAAAAGACACTACTTACACCTCCACGTTCTCGCCATCAGTCATCATCACAGACACGGAAGTTTGTCCCTGAATCTCGCACCTCTGTCTCTCGCACCGCAGCTGTTCACGTTCAAAATAACCGTAGAGTCTGTTGGTCCATTCCCCAACGGCGCGGATGTGCAACCAAACGGCGTCTGGGAGAGAAAGGTCTTGTGTTAAAAGGGTGTCTCTCCATCTGCTACTTCATGAAAGATGTGGTGGTTATTGCATAGCAGGTGTGAGATATGATCTACTTTTTTCTACAGTTATCCTGATGCGATCTACCAGCCTAAGATTCCAACGTATTCCATAAATATAACTGTGAGTGTGTAACATCATTATAGATTTAAACATAACTTATTCCCAGAGAAAAAAAGAGAAATATAATAATCCAAGTATCATGAGTACTTGGATATGCTATTGCAGCTATTTGCATGACAACTTCTGAAGGACGAATTATGAACAGGTACAGTAGTGTGATCGACTTAAAACAGGCTTGTGGTCAATTGTGATTGGCCACCCCTGTTATATAGTATATAACGATGGGGTATGTTTGTTTATTAGAAAAGTTATATTTCAGTTAGATTATTCAGAGGTTCATGGATAATAATAATATGGGGCATGATGTATAGGGGTAGTAAGCAGAAAAGTTCGTCATTATTTTATATTCTATTGAGCATGAAATACTGCAATCAAATGAGTGTCATAAGTCTGCACTTCTTCGTCCACTGCATAATGAAAGAAAATGACAAAAAAATCACTCAAACTACGATATCCAGCTGTATATCACACAACCCACCCCGCAGTTTGTCTATTTCTGCATCTACTACAAGAATAATACAACAATAACACAAGACAACAGCGAACCACAACCCCAGCTCCATACCTCCCTGCTCTGGTGCCGAAGAGATAGTAAACGGATGCCACTCGTACTTGGCGATGGCGGGGATGTTGACGAACACGTAGTCTCCGGGGTGGAACTGGAAGCCCCCGGGTCGCTTGATCACCAGGTGGATCACCTTGGACGGCAGGAGAACACCCGAGCTAATTGTTGAAAAAAATAGGATAAATAGATATAAATGTGGGGTAGAGGGAGAAGATGCAATAAGTATTCTTCTTTGTGATTGGAGCTATTTCATTTAATTTGTTATCAGGTGCAGGGTGATATTTTAAAATCTAATTTGAATATGCGATTCATTTCGGAATGTTATTTCCCCAATTCATTTTTACACCGATAAAAAAATGAAACAGGAAAAAGGAAAGACAGAAGTTTGAAAACGACGCCCTATCCCCAACACCTTTTTATCCCTTCTGAACAACTTCATCGCATCCCCATACACTAATTCTAACAACACGCCTCACTCCCTACCCACCACTCTACGCTCCCAACCTCCCCCCCCCCCCGAAACAACACTCCCGCCACCAACACTCCCACACCAACACCTAATATACGTCGTCTTGCCATGTCCCGTCCGTAGCCAACCTCCCACCCCCCTCCACCCACCGAAGCAACACTCCCACCCCCAACGTACGTCTTGCATGACCCGTCCGTAACCCTCCCACCCACCCCCTTCCACCCACCGAAGCAACACTCCCACCACCAACGCACCTGATGTACGTCTTGCCATGTCCCGTCCGTAGCCAACCTCCCCCACGAAGCAACACTCCCACCACCAACGCACCTGATGTACGTCTTGCCATGTCCCATCCGTAGCCAACCTCCCTCCCACCCCCCTCCACCCACCGAAGCAACACCCCACCACCAACACTCCCACCACCAACGCACCTAATGTACGTCTTGCCATGTCCCGTCCGTAGCCTGATCGTGCGGTGAACTCTCTCGATCACGAAGATGACCCCTGGAGCCACGAACCACTTCCAGAAGTTCGGTCCGTGGAGGATGGTGAGGATCCAGAAAGCGACGTACAGCAGGTGAGTCCAGTAGAATACCTGTGGGGAAGGGATGGGTGGATTATGACGTTGTTCGTTTATTTGGTTATTTGTTTGTTTGTATATTTGTTTGTTTGATTGGTTATTTGTTTGTTTGTATGTTTGTTTATTTGATTGGTTATTTACTGTTGGAGGGTGTTGTGTGGGGTGTTTGATTATTGTATGGATAGTTTTTTTTTCTTTTATACTTTTTGTGAGAAGATCGAAAAAGGTGAGCATGCGAAGTATGTTTCCTATAAACAATAATAATAATAAAAAACACGTGCCCTACCAAAATACGAAAACATAATAAAATACCACAGAATAACTTAAGCCTCAAAATCCTAAAATACCGATTTGTCAAGGAAAGAGTACCTTCCCTCCCTCTCTGTCTGTCTCTGTCTCTGTCTCTGTCTCTGTCTCTGTCTCTGTCTCTGTCTCTCTCTCTCTCTCTCTCTCTCTCACACACACACACACACACACACACACATCCACATCCACCTACATACACATCCACCCACACACACACACACACACACACATCCACCCACCCACCATACACACACACACACACACACACACACACACACACACACACACACACACACACACACACACACACACACACACACACACACACACACACACACACACACACACACACACACACCACCCACACACACACACCATCCACCCACACACACCACACCACCCACACACACACACACACACACACACACACACCACACACACACACACACACACACACACACACATCCACACACACCCACACCCACACACAAAGAAAATCCCAACAAACGGACCCCAACCCCACATCAACCCCAAAAATAACCTCACACCTCACCTCAAAATACCCAGACTTGCGGACGAAAGGCAGCGAACAGATAACCATGAGTGTCAGAATGATCATAAGGGCGATTCCGGTGGGGTTGGCTATGCCCTCAATCAACCCAAACTTCTCTGGCTTCATGGTGAACAACCACTCTGCCAAAGTGTAGTCTGTGGACGGGGCGACGACGAGTGCTGGAAGACCCAAGAAGATGAGAAAAGGAGAAGGAAAGAATATGTGATTAGAAGAAGGGCCGAGATGAAGATGAGAAAAGAAGAAGGAAAGAATATGAGAAAAGGAGAAGGATCGATATAAAGATGAGAAAAGGAGAAGGAAAGAATGTGAGACTAAAAGAAGGGCCGAGATGAAGATGAGAAAAGGAGAAGGATCGAGATGATGTTGAGAAAAGGAGAAGGAAAAAATGTGAGACTAGAAGAAGGGCCGAGATGAAGATGAGAAAAGGAGAAGGATCGAAATTATGGTGTGAAAAGGAGAAGGAAAAAATATGAGAAAAGGAGAAGGGCCGAGATGAAGATGAGAAAAGGAGAAGGATCGAGATGAAGGTGAGAAAAGGATAAGGAAATAATGTGAGACTAGAAGAAGGGACGAGATGAAGATGAGAAAAGGAGAAGAATCGAGATGATAGTGAGAAAAGGAGGAAAAAATGTGAGACTACTGGAAGACCCAAGATGAAGATAAGGAAAGGAGAAGGAGAAATATGAGACTAGAAGAAGGGCCGAGACGAAGATGAGAAAAGAAGTAAAAAAATGTGAGACTAGTGGAAGGACCGAGATAAAGATGAGATAAGGAGAAGGAAAAAATGTCACAGTAGGTGCACATTAAGAAGAAAATAGAAAAAAGGGAGAGAAATTTTAGAAAAGAAAAGAGAGGAGGAAAATAAGGAAAGAAAATCAGAGAGAAAGAAACATGAAGAAAGAAGGAAAGAAAAAAAATATTTAAAAGAAAGAGAAATTTGGGATAAGAAGAAAAAAATAAAGAGTAGTTCTATAGTTGACAAAAAAGAAAACAGAGAAAAACAAGGAAAAAAAGAAAGAAAAGAAAGAGACAAGAAAAGAAAAGAAAAGAAAAAAGAGAAAACTAGTAAAAGAAGAAGAAAGATTTGCAAAACAGAAGAAAAACAAAATAAAAAAGAGAAAAAACGAGATAAGAATAGAAAGATTAGTAAAAGAGTAAGTACCTATAAAGAAAAAAAGAAAAAAAGGTAAAAGGGAAGAAAAACAGTAATAAAATTGTATGTAACACACACACACACACACATACACATACATACACATACACACACACACACAACACACACACACACACACACACACACACACACACACACACACACACACACACACACACACACACACACACACACACACATATATATATATATATATATAATATATATATATATATATATATATATATATATATATATATATATATATATATATGCACACATACACACTTCTGCATCTGATATTTACGGATGCCAATAAATCCAAGTTTAATCGTAATCTGAGAGAAAGACTTTAGCAAATGGAAAATAAAAGACCCTTTCAAAAAAACGAATAGTCAAAGAATGGAAAGAAAGGCGACTGATAATAAATACGAGAAGACAATAAAAATGAAAGGAAGATATATGACCAAAGAAAATTATAATCTTCATTATCATGATCATCATTATAACTATTATCATTATTATTATTATTATTATTATTATCATCATCATTATTATTATTATTATCATCATCATCATTCTGTATCATTATTTTTATGATTATCACTATTATCATCATTATTATTATGATTATCACTATTATCATCATTATTATCATGATTATCACTATTATCACCATTATTATCATCATTATCATGATAAGTACCACAATCATCACCTTTATCACATATTCTGCCCCACCCATCTACTTACAGAAATTGAGTAGATGCATCAGTGTGTGTACCAGCGAGTAGATGAAGATGAACCAGCCGCAGAGTTTATGCAAGTACAGATGTTGGTCAAGGGGCAAGAAGGCCGAAGCTCCTAGAGACCTCAGATACGTAATACACTGACGTAACATCAACACGAGGACGAACATGCAGTTGAAGTTCAGACACTGACCTGTAGGGAAAAAGAAGGGAAAGGGGGTTAAGTGTGTGTTCAAAAGGGGTCATGCTAACGGACATGGAGTTGAGATTCAGGGGTGAAAACGAAGGAAAATGTGTTAATTGTGTGTTCAAAAGAGAGTGAAAACGAAGGAAAATGTGTTAATTTGTGTGTTCAAAAGAGACCTCTGCGAACATACAGTTGAAGTTCAGACACTGACCTGTTGGGAAAACGAAGGGGAATGGGTTAAATGTGTTCCAAAGAGATTATGCTACGAATAAACAGTTTTAAGAGGAAAATGAATGAAAAGGTGTTAAATGTGTTTAAAAGAGATTGTGCTACGAATAAACAGTTTTAAGAGGAAAATGAATGAAAAGGTGTTAAATGTGTTTAAAGAGATTGTGCTACGAATAACAGTTTTAAGAGGAAAATGAATGAAAAGGTGTTTAATGTGTTTAAAAAGATTGTGCTACGAATACACAGTTTTAAGAGGAAAAATGAATGAAAAGGTGTTAAATGTGTTTAAAAAGAGATTGTGCTACGAATAAACAGTTTTAAGAGGAAAATGAATGAAAAGGTGTTAAATGTGTTTAAAAGAGATTGTGCTACGAATACACAGTTTTAAGAGGAAAATGAATGAAAAGGTGTTAAATGTGTTTAAAAGAGATTGTGCTACGAACATACAATTGGAGTTCAGACCTGCAGGAAAATGAAGGGAAATGTTTTATATACGAACATATAGTTGAGACTCAGGAAGTAAAATTAAGGAAAATGTGTTAAATATGTTTAAAATAGATAATACTGAGAACATATATGATGAAGTTCAGACATTGAAGTGGAAGGAAAACGAAGGAAAAGGTGTTAAGTGTGTGTTCAAAAGAGATCATACTGCGAACATACAGTTGAAGTTCAGACATTGATCTGGCAGGAAAACGATGGGAAATATTAAATGTGCGTTCAAAATAGATTATGCTACGGACATACAGTTGATGTTTAGACACTGAACTGGAGGGGGAATCGAAGGAAAATGTGTTAAATGTGTGTTTAAAAGAGACTGTTGCGAACGTACAGTTGCAGTTCAGACATTGAAAAGGAAGGACAACGAAATAAAATGTGTTAATGTGTGTTCGAAAGAGATTGTGCTACGAACATACAGTTGAAGTTCAGACACTGACTTAGGAGGAAAACGAACGAAAGTGTGTTAAATGTGTTAAAAGGAGATTATACTAGTTGGTGGCTGTGATTCAGCGATAAGGATATCCTGAGTTGATTCTGATGCAAAACTGGGGATGCTTTATTTCGTTTTTTGTGGCTTTTTCATGTGATTTCACTCATTAATCATTTAGCCATCAAAATCTGCGTGTATAGATCATGACTCTAGTATATCATTGGTAACTTGATAATTGACAGGTACATGCATTAGTTTTCCGTGTGTGTGTGTGTGTGTGTGTGTGTGTGTGTGTGTGTGTGTGTGTTGTGTGTGTGTGTGTGTGTGTGTGTGTGTGTGTGTGTGTGTGTGTGTGTGTGTGTGTGTGTGTGTGTGTGTGGTGTTGTGTGTGTGTGTGTGTGTGTGTGTGTGTGTGTGTGTGTGTGTGTGTGTGTGTGTGTGTGTGTGTGTGTGTGTGTGTGTGTGTGTGTGTGTGTGTGTGTGTGTGTGTGTGTGTGCGTGTGTGCGTGTGCGTGTGCGTGTGTATGTGTGTGTGTGTGTGTGTGTGTGTGTGTGTGTGTGTGTGTGTGTGTGTGTGTGTGTGTGTGTGTGTGTGTGTGTGTGTGTGTGTGTGTGAGTGAGTGAGTGAGTGAGTGTGAGTGAGTGAGTGAGTGAGTGATGAGTGAGTGTGAGTGAGTGTGAGTGAGTGTGAGTGTGAGTGAGTGAGTGAGTGGAGTGAGTGTGTGTGTGTGTGTATGTGAGTTTGTGTGTGTTGTGTGTGTGTGCACGTGCGAGTGCATGTGTGCTGTATTTGTATGTGCGCGAACGTGCATGTGCATGTCGTGCCCATATGCATGAGCGCCTGCGTCCTTGCGAGTCCCGAACCCCACCCCCCACCCCCCACCCACCCACCCACCACCCCGCTCAAGCGACCACCCACGCCAGCGGACACTCACCGCAGGCCCGGGCGAAGATCGTGTACCAGTTGCTTTCCCGGTACTCGATGGCGCGGGAGATGAACAGACCCAGGTTGATGGCTATGTACACCAGCAGGAAGATCAGGTACACGTAGTTGTTCTTCAGGTACGGCAACGTCAGCTGGTACGGCCGGATCTTGGCCACGCGCTTCCAGATCGACTCCTTCTCCGTCCGGATGTTGGGCGGGACGAGCCAGCGGTCGATGCTGGGGGGGATTAGGGAGCGTGGGATTGGGAGTGATTGGGATTTGGGGAGGGATGTGCAGCGTGGGATTAGGGAGTGATTGGGATTTGGGAGGGATGTGTAGCGTGATTAGGGAGGAGGGATTTGGGGGAGGGATGTGCAGCGTGGGATTAGGGAGTGATTGGGATTTGGGAGGCGATTGCAACGTGGGATTTGGGGGATGTGCAACGTGGGATTAGGGAGGGGATTTGGGGGAGGGATGTGCAGCGTGGGATTAGGGAGGGATTGGGATTTGGGGGAGGGATGTGCAGCGTGGGATTAGGGAGGGATTGGGATTTGGGGGAGGGATGCGCAGCGTGGGATTAGGGAGTGATTGGGAATTGGGGGAGGGATGTGCATCGTGGGATTTGGGGGCGGGAATGCAACGTGGGATTTGGGGCGGAAGTGCAGCGTGGGATTAGGGAGTGATTGGGATTTCGGGGAGGGATGTGCAGCGTGGGATTAGGGAGTGATTGGGATTTGGGGGAGGGATGTGCAGCGTGGGATTAGGGAGTGATTGGGATTTGGGGCGGATGTGCAACGTGGGATTAGGGAGTGATTGGGATTTGGGGGCGGGAATGCAACATGGGATTTGGCAAACACCAGGATTTCGGCCGGTTTGTTAAAATTGTGCATATCTATCAGCCTAGACGTGCTATCAACCGGATGGATAGATAGATAGATAAATGTATATCTTTCAGACAGATATGCATTTGTTTGTAGAGATAAGCATGCCCGCATTTGTGAATATTCATTTGGTCGGCCCTGCACACTTTTAACAAACCGGCCGTTTGTGTAGGCCTACGTTCGCTGGTGAACTTTTTTTTAAGTACTGTATGCATTCATAAAAAAAAAAAAAAAACAAGACGGGAAAAAATTCTAATAAATTTCTGCTTTGTTTGCCCATAGAACGAATATATGCAAGAGTATGAGAAAGAATTGTTCCATTCGATGAAATGGCAGACAGAGCGATGAGTAAAGTCTTCGTTATCTTGTCATCTATTTTATATATTATATTTTATTTATCATATTATTTATATATTATTTTATATAGTTATATATTATTTGTTATCTATGTAGTCTTGGCAAAGAAAAGAACCAGGGGTCGAAGGTGACCATATAAGGACAACTGTAAGACCACTGCGCGGATATTCAAACCTTGACCTAATTTTAAAAAGCGAGTGGAAAAAGGGGGAAATAGGAGAAAGTGATGATTATACTCCTTCTCCTGCTCCTCCTTCTTTTGTTCCTGCTCCTTGCTCCTCCTTCTCCTCTTGCTTCTCATCCTGCACCTTGTTCCTCCTCCTCCTTTTCTTCCTGCTCCTTGCACCTCCTTCTACAGCTCCTTGCTGCTCCTTCTACATCTCCTTGCTCCTCCTCCTCCTCCTTGCTCCTCCTCCTCCTCCTTGCTCCTCCTCCTGCTCCTTGCTCCTCCTTCTACATCTCCTTGCTCCTCCTCCTCCTCCTGCTCCTTGCTCCTCCTTCTACAGCTCCTTGCTCTCCTCCTCCTCCTCCTTGCTCCTTCTCCTCCTCCTTGCTCCTCTTCATTCTCCTCTTGCTTCCCCCCTCTCCTACTCCTCACAACCAATCCCAATCAACAAAAAAAACAGCAACAAAAACAACAACCCCACCAAACCCCGACGAAAAATCCCCTCGTCAGCTCACCTGATCGACAGGTTCTCCAGCAGGCCGTCGTGCTTCTCCAGCTGCGCCTTCAGGGACTCGTAGGTGATGGCGCCCGTCCTCTGGGTGTCGGCGTCCTCGAACAGCGCCAGGGTCAGGTCCTCGATCTGCTCGTCGCTGAACTTCATGCCGTTCTCTTCCATGCACGCCTTCATGACCTTCTGCAGTTCGCTCTGCTGGATCAGCCCGTCGCCTGGAGGAGAGGGGGAGGTGGTGGATCAGAGAGGAAGGGATGGGAAGGGAAGAGAAAGGAAGAAATAATGAATAAAGAGAAAACAAGAGAAGAATCAAATGGAAACTGGAAGAGTGGGAGGGGTGAATCAGAGGAAGGGAAGGGAAGGGAAGAGAAAAGAAGAAGAATTAAGTGGAACATGGAAGAGAGGGGAAGGTGATGATCAGAGAGGAAGGGATGGGGAGAAGAGTCAAGTGGAACCTGGAAGAGTGGGGGAGGTGATGGATCTGAGAGGAATGAAAGGGAAGAGAAATGAAAAAAAAACAAAAACAAAAGAAGAATACACAAGGTAAAGCAAACTTTGGAAAGAAGAGCGGGAACGAAGCCTCAAATGGAACTTCTATATCTTCTCTATCAGTCTGTATCAGAACAAACAGAACATCTACCTCAGAGCAGAAAAACATCGCCCACATCTGAACAAAACTACATCCACTACATCAGAACCCCAACCACACCCGCCACACCAAAATAGACCTACATTTCCCACATCATATCGGAACCTACACGACCTACACCACATATCAGAACTCTCGAACACTCCACACCTCTTACAGTCAAGTTCCTATTCTTGGAACAGAACCTCCCAACAGTGTCTTTATAAGTATGTAGTCTACAATTCAATTTTTTACTGCTATGTGTAGGTTTTGGAATAGATTACCTTTAGAGATTGTAACTTCTCCGACTCTTGATAAGTTTAAAAGATCAGCTACCATGTTTTTCTTACGTAAAGAGTTGATTTTCTATTCTTTCATTCTTTCTTAGCTGTATCTTGGCCTGCGGTGACACTTTTGGTGGTATAAATCTCGATTTTTTTCAGTGTGGCTCTTTATATAGATTAAAATATTAATAATAATAATATAGGTCTATATAAGCATACTTATTAAGACCTTGTCTCCTAACACCCCCTCCCCACCGTATCGAACAGAGCCTCCCAACAAGGTCTATATAAGTACACAAGTCTTTATAAGTATACACATTTAGACCTTGCCCCAAGACCGCACGCCCTCCATAACGAGCAGAACCTCCTAAGGCCTATACGAGTTCATAGGCCTATATAGCCCTACCTATTCAGACCTCGTTCCTAACATAAAACACACTCCAACAAACAAGGTTGCATAATGTCATTCATAACCCTACCTATTCAAACGAGAAAGGCTAGATCAGTAGCAACTCGAGGATTCTGTAGCGTCATGTCTGTCTTGATGATTGTTTCATTTGAAATATAACCATTTTCAAATCATTAATTTTACCATCCCTTCTTTCGAATTTAATTGAAGACCAAAAACGATCGACCATAGTCACAAAGCATCCGTAACATTCGTGACGTCATCAAAATAAACCCCATGTGCGTTTTTTCTCCTCGAGTCGCTACTGACCTAACCTCGCCTCCCAAGACACCTCTGCCCGAGCCGCAACGTACCGTCCAAGTCGTACACTTTGAAGAGGAACTTGATCTTGTCGTTGGGCGACTTCCCGGCGAACTGGTGCATGGCGTCGAGGAACTCCGAGAGAGACACGGTCTGCGCTGTTGTCCCTGTCGAAGAATCTGGAACACCCATCTCGGGCTCTGAAGGGACTTGAAGACTGCGAAGGGAGACCGTGGAGGAGGTGTGGTGTGGGGCGGCTTCGGTGGGAAAAAATGATTACCGGAGAAGTGTAGGGAGAGAGCGGAGGGAGAGGGAGGGAGAGGGAGAGGTGAGAGAGGGAAGGAAAAGGGAAGAAAGGAAAAAGTGGAGAGAAGGAGAAGAGAGATGAGAGAGAGAGAGAGAGAGAGAGAGATGAGGAGAGAGAGAGAGAGAGAGAGAGAGAGAAAGAGAGAGAGAGAGAGAGAGAGAGAGAGAACTAGAGAGAATCAGAAAGAATAAGAGAGAGATAAAACAGATCAGAGAGAAAGCCAGAGACAGATAGAAGCCAGAAAAAATTGAAAAAAAAAATCATCAAAATCAAATTCAAGGCAAAACAATCGAAACACACACACACACCACACACACACACACACCACAACACAACGATTACACAACAAACAAATACTTTTAAGACCAAGAACCCACACCACAAGCCAAAACTAACTCCTAACTCAAGCATTGATTACAATTGGGAATGGACGACTTCTGAAGTCATCGAAAGGACAGCTCTCGCTTGGTGTACCAGTATAGTGACTACGTCCTGGGCGGAACAGGCTTGCCTCCAGCCACTCCAGGTTTCCTCCCGTCATGTGAAGCCGTTTCGGGTGACGTGATGATTGGGAAGGAGGGCAGATAATGAGAAAGGATAAGGATGATCATAGTGATCGACTTGGTGACGATGACTGTAGTGGTGATGGTGACATAATTGCTATGGACGAGATTTATAGTGATGTTGATAATTAAGAATTCACTTCAGACATAGACGGATTTCGATTGATGAATTCTTTCATTGAGGTGACGATGACGATAGTGTTATTACTTTTTGGTGACGATTGACGATTCCAGTGGCATGATCCTGATGACGATTGACGATAGTGATGACCTTAACACTAGGAATTAATTAGAGATACTGGCACAGATGACAGGAATATTTAGGATGACAATAAAAATTAAATGAAGGTGACGATGCACGATAGTGATAGATGGGCGATGACGATAGTGTATGATCGGTGATGGAATGACTTTATTCGTGATGATTTAGTGCACGATGACGATTAAGGTGATGAAGCCCCCGGTATAGTTACGAATTTGACGTGATAGTGATGTATTATATGATCGTGCTTATGTATATTATTTATTTACTATCTCGATAGTGATTGAGCAGAAGTATTTACATTATTATTGGCTTATTTAAACCGTCAATTTTATTTTAAAAATCGTGATGATACCCGGAATAAATGATGAAAAATGACAATTAATAATTAGATAATGATATATAAAGACTGGTATAATAGTTAATGTGTGATGATTACGATGTGATGTTGAATAGAGTTGACACGTTAATGGGGTAATATTTAGGGCAATAATGACCAGTAGATGATAGTGATTAGATATTAATTATCCCAATTTTTATAAAGCCCCATCTATAATGAGAAAAAAAAGGGCTAAAAGGGAAATGAAAAAATCACAAAAATGTTCGAGTAAAAATATAACCAATAAAATATAGAAAATAAAGAAAAACTAAAAACCGGGGGTAAATTGATATTGATGAATGATAACGAATAAGTGCATCGCTTGATAAGGTTGACCCAGTGCCTGATGGGTAGCCTAAAGATTCTTTTTAAGTAAGAAAATGATTACTTGACAGTGGCATTTTTCGAGAAAGTGATAGAGATGACTTCAGGAAAAACCCCCCTTTTTCCGAGTTTTTAAAATTGGATTGAGTGTAAATGGAATTGATTGATTTACGATTATGTTTATGAACCATTTTAATGTTTCTCGAGGGGCTCTAACTAGCGATGGTGTGGAAACTCTCTAGATGATTAAACGCTGATCCCTATCGAGAGTGAATGATATGACAATTAATGACTCGATACATATGATCAAAATGTCGTAAGTATATATGAGGATTGATTTAGTTAATAGTAGGCACAATGATAACATTAGAATAGTGATGATTAATGCATTGAGTCAAATTAAATGTAATGATAGATAATGAATGATAATGATCAAGTATAACGATACCGATTGTGTATGATTTATTGAATAAGATAAACATGTATTATAAATAATGACTTGAGTGAAACATGACTGATGATAAGAATAACCGATCAACAATAGTTATGATAACGATAACATTGTGATGGCAATCATGGCCGATAACGATAATGATGAAAAGGATAATGATAACGGTTAATGCATGATAATGATAATCGATTAACAATAAATGGATCGATCAGTGATAATGATAACAGTAGCGGTGATAATGATAACATTAAAGTTACTGATAACGATCTTGATGCCATGATCGGTTATCAATTAATTGGCATAATTGATAAATTACTGAGCATGATAACGATGAACACATAGTGATAGAATATTCAAGATAATTCAAAGATACACAATTATGCTTATATAAATTGATGTATCTATT